GCTTACACTACAGTTTTTCCTTTCAGTGGGAGCACTAATAACTGTTTTTTCTCTACTTGGGCACCTACTTTTACAAAACTTGTAGGAACGTAGTATCTTTATGTCCACAAATGTGACTGAAATTGGCCAGAGGGCTCAAAGTTTTTTATGGAGGAACGATAAACAGGAGAGCATAAAAACCCATGCAGTATGATCTTATGAGGCTCATTTCCTTCTAAAATAATTTTCTTTAAAAGAAAGAATTAACAGCCTAAAGCTATCACCCATTTTTATTTACACGGTCCCTACTGTAAGTGTATATTTACGTGTGTGTATCTCACACACATACGTACACAAATACATGAGCAAGCACACATGCCACCATGCATTCCTATGTGTGTGTTCCCAACACACACCCTGTGAGAAACCTACCACAAGTAAGTTACTTGGCATTGCAGATCTGTGTGTTTATCCCCCATGGGAACACTGGTAAACTCAATTGAGTGATATCCCTAATTTACAGCCAGTGGCATTTCTAAAAATGATGGGGGATGCCTTGTCTCAGCATCCGCTGAAGTTGACGGGCTTGCCTTCCCTTACCTACGTAAAGGTTTACAAGATTGGCGTCTGCAGAGCCATCGCTTTCAAAGGATGAGTGCGTAGGCATGAGTACCCTGTGCCAGGGATTAGACAGGAGAATCGGGGCCAAAATTATTTACAGGGAACATCTGAACTCAAGAAACATAGAAAACATTTTCTATAGCAAAAATGACTGATCTCGGAATAATTTACTTTCGCTAGATTTCTAAGGTCCTATTGCTGGGCCCTTCTTTTTTTTATTTCACATTTGAATGTCAGCAGGTCAAAAGGAACAGTTAATGCTGATGAATATTTGCCCCTCAGCAAAGATATGTGCTGGCCAGCCCAAGGCCAATGAGTCGCAATTTCTAAACAGTGTCCCATTTATCTCTCCCCTCCCCCTTCTCCCCCTACTCGCTTTTATATTTTTGTAACTATAATTGTAGTTAAATTAGAAATAACTGATGGGCAAATCCAGTCAAATGGAAAGAAAATTGTGGGAGATTTATTTTATTTTGATAAAAAACTGACGTTGCCTTTTGTTTTTGTCAAAAAACGACTATTTTTCTTTGTACCATGAATTGTGAAATCTATCACGAAATGGGTAAAAATTATTGAAGGAAATGGTGGTGTTAACCTGAAGGGGAAAATCATTAATGTTGATGTATTTCATTCAATTTTAAATGTAGAATTTATTTTATTTTATTTTATTTATTTGGCATTGGGGAACTAGGGAAAAGGCAGGAGACTTGCAAAGGACTCTATGTGCCTTTAAGTCAAAACATCTATTTTAAAAATACTCTTCCCTCCTTCCCTCCTGCTCCATTTTTCTAAATAAAGGATATGAGATGTTGTTGTTGTTGGTGGTTTTTTTCCTAAGCAAAGAGGACCCCCTCGGCGCATTTTTCTTTTCAAATGTGAAATGAGGTGGAAAATCCTCATTTCACGACAGGAAGGACAAATATTGACACAAAGTTAGTATTTGTCAGGAGCCCTAGAAGCAACCTGAGTGCTAAAATCTCATATAGATATATATGTTTGTGTGTCTATGTCTGTGTGCGCATGCATATAATTAAATAATAAACTTGACTTGATGATAGGGGAATCTGTGGAAAGCAAAGTCTGCTCTCTAAGGCTGAGGGAACAGCTGGAGAGGGTGGACACACACACTCTCCACATATTATTTCTCTCTCTTTCGTGCACCAAGTGGGACACACACATGGCACACACACCCACGCAAGCACCCAACACACACATGCCCTCTTCCTTTGCTCAGGTGCACGCAGCTCCTGGTGTGACTTTCAGCCTCACCCGTGCACACGTCGCTACAGATATGAACATCTTCTGCATCTTTCCCACCCATTTGTAGGGTGTCCGGCTGACTTGCACTCACCAGGTTTCTCTTTCTTTTTCCCCCATTTTTTCCCCCCTCTCACACACATGTGTGTGCAAACACACACGCACATACAAATATAACCTGTTTAATCTAATTTCACCCATTGCAGGGGGATGCTTCTGGAATTTATCACTGTTATTGTTCATCGCCAATGTAAATAGCACATGTCAGCTCAATATTCAGTGGTCACTCAGTATTTATTAAGTCCTGTCCACTCTGGCCTTTTTTAGAGGAAAGCCCCGGGGCAGATTAGCTGCTGGCCCTGACACTCCGTGTCACTTATCTATTCGCATTGATTATGAGAGTCAGCTGTGGCCAGGACTCACTTTTTCCTTCTCCTCTCAGACCCCTCTTACAAGCACCCCTGCTTGGATTTTCATGAGGAAATAATCAGATTAGGGCTTCAGCGGCGAGTTCATATGGAGTTCTCTTTCTCCAATGTGCTACTAACTAAATAAACGTGTTTTGTGGTAAATTGTAAATGACATTATGATTACTAAGGCCAGCATGGGTTTCATTTAAAAGTGATCGAAATTGCAGGCTGCAGAAATTGTGACTGGCAGATAAGGCCATTTGGAAGGAGACAAGCAATGATGCGTGTGCGTGCACGGGCGTGTGTGTGTGTATGTGCACAGGAAACCAAGCAAACCCACTTTGCAAGGCAGGCAGGGCAAAGGAAAGTCCTGGGAAATCACAAAATATCAGCAAATCCCATTTGTAGACAAGAGAAATGTCACCGGGGGGAGATGGGGGGTTTCCGGGAGAGCAGACGACGAGATCTGTCAGCCTTTGTGGGCTGGCTGCCTGCTGCAGGGTGCATCCTCTCAGCGCTTCAGGACAATACCGAATGTCTTTGAGTGCAGCGTTTCCACTTCTGCTTCTGAATGGAGTTGCTGCTCCCTTTCCCTTTGCCCCCTGCACACGCCGATAGCAAAATACTTACACTGATAAAGCAAAAAAAAAGGGAAAAGCAAGAAAAAGGGAAAGAAAATGGTAAGCTGGTGTCTAAAAATAGGGGCTTTTGCACAGATCTTATCTGACTTGGACCTCCTCCCTGAACAAAGCTTGACATTTATGTAATTTCATTGCTTCCCTCGGTGACGTGCAGAGCGAGAGCTCATTCTGGGAAATGCTCGCAGACCTGGGTAGCGGTCTGCACACGAGGAATCCCCTTGAAATAAATCATAGGTAAGTGTCCACAGATCCAGACATCGAGATGTAGCTATAAGCAGAGCCCAGACTGATTTCTCATAGATCGTTTCTTTTCCAGTAGTCTGGTATTTTCTTCTAGCAGCGAGTTTCACAGTTACAATGTTTCCTTGATAAGGGGAATGCCCTTTTATTCATCCAAAACTTCGTGACTCTCAAGGATGTTGCTGTCCCTTTCTTTTTATCATTATTGCCAGGCATTGCTGATCTGCATGCACGTCCCCAAAGCTGCTGAATGAGGAACACATAGTTAGTTTAGGCATTGGCCATGACTTGCCTAACACGTTCGTGAGCACAGCTAACGAGGGAAGGAGCAGGCTCAGGGAGGGAAGGAGGATTATAGCTGGCTACAGCAGCAAATTCCTCCTTTGATTTTATTTTGAAGAGGGGAAGGAAAAACAGAAACACACATCTTTTCCTAAGATGCTCCAGGCAGAAATGTTTATGCTTTTGGTGCCCGTACCTGAACTCATTTACTTTTATTCTCTCTTTATAATCAGTGATGATCTCATCATTACAGCCTGTGGCAAAATTTCTCTCATCTTAAAGCAGAGACCTGTATTTGGTCAGATGGAGCATACCTCAACTCAGAAGACTGTATGGATTACATCTCTTCTATATAGATCCTTCCATAAAAGGATCCTCTTGTCTCCACAGACACTTGGGATGGGATTCCGTGGCAAATTCTGACATTCATGGAAGCGTCTTAGCTCCTGTTATATTCAGTGAAAGCATACGTAAAGTGTTACCTAAAGTGGCTTTTGTACTCCCATGGATCATGTGTTACATCTACAGATGTTGTAGCTACCCAAAGAAGTCCAGGTGACGTTATGCACTTGTGTCTAAGTGACAGGATCCTACCTCTGGTCAGTAAAGTTAGAGGATTGTAAAGGGCAATCCAGCTGACAAAACAGAGGTATTTTAGGGTGAACTTCATTGCTTTCTAAACCATTTTGTCTGTATGGATGGCTGGGGAATTGGGAGTGTTTGTTACCATAAATGTGTATCTAGTGCAATTTCAGGTGCTGTGGGGTGTCCCAGCAGGCCTCCAGCTGCCACCTTTGAAGCGCATAGGTCTTCTGTAGACCCTGTGTTACATGCCTCAGATACTTCAGGGCATCCCATGAGAGACTAGATGCCTGCCTGTGGGCAAACGATTTAAATTCCAGATCTCCACTGACTGCAATGGGAGCTTAGACACTTGGAGCACATGTAAGGGTCTCTGCTCATTGTAGGTGTGTGAATCTGGTGCTTTCTTTTAGCTCTAAAACTTGGTGACGAGAGTTAATTTACTTACTCTGCTGAAGTAAATTAATGATGTTCTGGTCCTTTCCAGTTTTTTTGTTTGAGATACAATCCCTGAGTGGGATGAGAGGGCTTTGTGTAGAGTTAAAATATCTTTTGAGAGAATTGCAGTCATGCCCTCATTTTTTACCCTGCTACAGGCTTAGAACAAGGAGAATGTAGAAGACATAAGGACATAGGGACATAGTGGTGGGTCAGACCAAAGGTCCATCCAACGTGCCTGCTCTTTCAACAGTGGCCATAATTTGATATCTAGAAAGAACAAAGCAAGTGTATATGGTACTTCTTTTCATTCATTAGCAGTCTTCAACCATTTTCAGCTCAAGGATATCTTGAGGTAGATGTGGTTTCTACCTGTTTAATATCCCTTAGTGTCCAGGCTTCTCTTAAAACTATGTAAAATTTTAGCACCAACAAAAGTGACTTTGAGCACTGAATGGGAAAATAAGCAGCTATACCACAAATTGTTGATACGATGTCTGTAACAATTCATATTTTTTTTCTCTCCCCATCTCCCTTTATTCTCCCCCAGGAATTTATAGAGATGACAGCAAGTGTATCTTCAAGCCCTCAGTACAAGGCTACTTCTGCAAACAGACAGATCACGCACTTGTCATCCTAGAAAACTTGGACCCCAGTATGGTCAGCCAGAGACTGTTTCCAGTGATAGCAATTACTGGCAGCTTTATGGACACCTTCAGTGGTGTGACATCACATGCATCGTGTTATCCTGCAGAGGATCGTTCTACTTTCTTTTCTGTGCTGCCATCCACCGAACTTGCTACAGTTTGCTTCCCAGACCTAGCACCTCTGACTTTCAGACTTTACCTCCTCAGTGGCCAAAACGCAACCAGGCTGCCCCTTGCAATATTCTACAATGAACCCCTCAGCCTTCGTGTTTTCATTCAAGGGAAATATGTCTCTCCAACACCATCTTCTTTCTCACTGAATGAAGGGGCAGGAGCCAATTACTTTAGCTTTGAGGACAATCTTCTCTATGTTCTCCTGCATGAGAAGGAACCTGTAGAAATAGTTGCTGGCCTTTCCCTTCTTGTGGCTTTCACTGTAACTGAGGCTGTTGGGGAAGAGGGTGAAGCAAGTATAATATGTCGATTAGCTGATTTCTTGAAGGTTGGTTATGACCAAGTCAAAGTAGTGCATCATGTGCTGGGAGGTGAAAACATGTTGAAGGTAATCTCGGCCAATGCCAGCAAAAAGAAATATCACTGCCCTAGCATGGCGTTTTGTACAGCCTTTCCTAGCAGGTCTAGCTCACAGAAAGTGGGGAGAGGACCAGTGAGTACCCGAGCTCTGCAGCCATCTGATGCAGCTGGTCCATCAAGAGTGCTCATCATTGAACTTGGCGATCCACCAGGCCATCCAAGAAATGAGTTGACAAGTGACAGTTTAAAGAGTTTGGCCAGAACAATTATCAACACTCATCAGACTGGAGACCTTCAGAGAGGCCTTGGCTTGCCCCTTGATACCTTAATGGTGACGCAGCCTGCCTTACTGTTTCCAGCAGAAGCTAACAATAGGTAAGTATCAGACGCAGTATCAGCAGATACTGATTTAAGCGTAGTGAAGCAATTTAACCACTTGATCTGCTTATTAAGATAAGGAGTAACTTCTCCATTGACTGAAATATGACTAACCATGGTGAAACATATTATAAAGTTTCCATGACAGAGCTATGTCCAAGTACTAGCTAGATTCCTGAGTGTGAATTAACATGTTATTCTGCTGGTGCTCATGGATGTCTCATCTCGCAGAGGTTTAAACCAGGAACAGAGTTCCTGGATGTTTGCCTTGAAACTATAAAGTATTGGGTAAAGTCAATGTTTCTAAAGAAGTTCAGACTGCGATAGCTCTTAAATTTTAAACAATTAAATCTACAAATGTTTATAAATTGGCATAGCACCAGAGACGTGTTATGAAAGATGGGTTGTTGCCTTAACTAACTTGCAGGTCTAAACCTTGATTCATATACTTTTAAACTTTAAGGCCAGAAAGGACTGTTTAATCTTCTACTTCAATCTCCTGTATGACACAGGCCACTGTTGTTCACTTTGATACCTCAGCGCTGACCTTGCTTTTTGGCTAAAATATTTATTCTAGAAAACCACCTAGTCTTGAAGATACAAGAGCTGGACATATCCAACACTACCTGAATGTGTGCCTAGATGTTGAATGCTATCCCTGTTTTTGCTGTCACAAGTACTTGCCCACTTTCTCCTGTCAGCCTCACTGTCTCCAGCTTCCCTTGAGAGTCTCTTGTTCTTTCCTTCACTGTTACATCTGTGAGTTTCTGGGCATTGACTCTTCCTCCTCCTCCAGATACCTCCAGAGTAATCAAATCACTTAGCTGTCTGCTTTTTAATAAATTGAAAGGTTTGAGTTCTGGAGAGTGTTTCTTTCCTTCTCTGTCTCTGTTTTCTGAATCTTTTTTGAAGTGTGTATGTCTGAAAAGCCAACAGTTTTCCTTCATATCAGTGCTGTACACAAAAGTGGTATTAAATCCCATTTTCTACTGACAGAATTCAATGATCCCATTAGCCCATTTTTCCACAGAAATAGGACAGCTCATGATCCTCTACTTGTTCACTGTATTCGTTAATTCCTTTTCAGTTCTAGCTTTCCGGGACCAAATCCATCCAGTTTGTTTGCCCAGATCCAACACACCATATGGTCTAGGTGCCCATGTTTGACTGTTCTCTCCATGATGTACCAGCCCACCAACCCTTCTGTGCATTTTATGTTTATATTTGTTTCTGGACGTAGATAAAGCATCAGGCCAGCAGCTGATTTGGACAGAACAACACAGGACACACCTTTACTTTATAATGATTTCCCAATGGGAGCTACCTTTTGAGCTCTGTCAGTTTCCCAGTTCTTGGTCAGTTTTGTACATATTATTTTTTTCTTGATGTTCTGTACATCAGTACAGACTCAGTACAGAACAAGACTCAGTTTTTGAAGGTTGCTTTTTTTCTCTCCTCCACAGCAACAAATGACCCTTTCTGTCCCTCCTTCCTCTGTCCCCGTCTTGCTCTTTTCAGCCTCTTGCAGCCACTGTTTTCATGGCCCAGATGGCAGCCCTTATCTGCAGAGAAAGCTGTGAGGAGCAAGGCTGGGAAGGGAGCAGACAGCAGTGTATTTCAGCCTCAGATCCTGAATCTGTATTAAAAGCATATGGGAAAAATGAAAAAGGTAATATCCCGTCTGTTTTTAATAGGGGACATGGGATTTGATGTTTGGCAACCTTATTGTGTACTCTCTTGATATTGCATAATGTTATTTTTTGATGTTGTGCACTACTGAGCCTTACCCAAGTACAAGCATATTCCATCTATGCAAGAAAGAAATTGGATTTGTCTAAGACTTAGTATCTCTAATTAATACCATATCCTCTAACATTTACTACTGACCCCTCTACCATCCTAATGTCTGTTGGCTGCTAGTGATACAAACTACTATTCACATGCTTAATTTTTCTACTAGGCACTGTGTGGCTTACAGTAGTGAAGCACCCACAGTAAGGACACTGGTCTGTGACCATGGGAATCTTTGTTTTGTTTTGTTGTTTGGTTTTGGTTTGTTGGTTTTGGGTTTGGTTTTTTTAAGTGGTGTTATATTAAGCACAGTGGGAAATTATTATTTGCAAGATCAAATCTTAAATCAGGGCCAAACTCTGAAGATATACAATATTTTTTATCAGCAGAACTAACATCACTATTGTGAGGGGGGGTATTCGTGTTACGATGTAGGATACTACAAAATGGGACAGCAAAAATGGTTGTAGGAAGTTTTACAGCCTGTGATAGGAAAAGTTATCCTGCCTTTACGCCATCCCAAGACATGCCATAGCTTGCGGAGTGTGACAGGTACAGGACCCCTCCTTCAGTGTGTCCATTATTGATGATCAGAACAAGAGGAGCAACAATAGCTACACTGTGGACAAGGAACAAGGTATAGATTTTTTTAGAGGAAGTTCACCAGAACCCTATTAAATGCCTATAGGTTCCTGAATGCATCAGCGTAACATCATTGAGGGGGGGAAGCAGAGATCACTTAAAGGAGAGGACCACCCTCTTCTGTGTGCCACAAGAGAAGAAAGCTTGTGTCTGCTTTTTTTCAGGCATAAAAGACATTTTCTCCACACTGGGGACTGCGCTACTAGCTGGGGTTTGCCTTCCCATCTATGCATGCTCTGTGAAACCAGTCTGAGCAGCGAGGATCAGGACAGGCGCCTAGGAAGGAGGCTGTTTGATTATAGGGACAAGAGCAGTGCTAGCTTGAAGTCATAGATTCACCGTCTCAGCAGGGGAAGACCTGGGACGTATATTCAAGAGAACACTAACATCACCAGATCATAGGACCAGCTCAGAGCTCATCCACCCTTAGCTGCTTGGGCTCCTCTGCAGTGTTATTTATTGCTCCCCATCAGTCATAGCTTTTCTGGAATTACTCATGGCTGACATTTCTGATGCAATAAAGCCACAGATAACTTGTGAAATGAAATCAGGGTTTTCCTGTTGGGACATGCAGTATCCCCACTGTCTGTCTGTCTCTCTTTAGGCAGTACATGCTAGCACAGGCAAGGATAATGGGGCTGGGATTACAAGTCAGGGTAAATATTCCCGTGTATTTTTCTGTGGAAGGAAAAGAGAAATATTTTCACCCCTGAGTGGTGCAAAATGCAATCAGGCTGTCAGACATACACAGAACCTGCACTCCTGCCGGGCCAGTCTCCCTGCGGTTTCAGACTAGTGGCTCCTCTTGCATCAAGACAACAACAAAAAGATCTTTGATCAGCAGAGACTGGGTGTTCGTCTTTGCAGCCCAGGACAGCGAGGCTGAAGGGAGCCCTGGAAACCTTGCTGTGATCGGGTAGCTAGGCAGTAAGTCTGTATATCACATTGCCAAGCCTTTAAAAAAATTCCTTGTCTGTTATGATTTGAAATGCTTTTTTACATGATTTTAATTTAAATCCTTTGTTAGGGTCACTTCAAGCACGGCTCATTGGTTTGTCAAGGAAAGACAGAGGTGATTGCTATGACTGCTACAGTCTTGCACAGCTGGAGAATCAGAGATGACTATCACATAGTTTTATCTTCCTGTGAATGTCTGTGTATTAATAGATATTGCAATGTATTTACAGATAGAAATCTGTTTTGCAAAGTTTGCCTAATATCAATATAAATATAAAAGTGAAAGAACAAGAGAGCACAACAGCGAATATATTGTGTGTGTTTGTGCGCGTGCCTTTATACAAAATCAGAAATATAAAGCTGGACAGTCATCCAGAAGCCATTTAGTCCATATCCCCACACTAGAGCAGGGTACTTTGCTCCTTCTTGATGGACCTTTAACCTGCTACAAACTGAAATTTGCAGGCATTAATCTTTCTTTATTAAGAATCAGGTTTGGGGTAGCATGTGAAAAACTCTGTGTGTGTGTGAAATAACAGTGTTTGAGACTCATAGCAAGCAACAAAAGTGAAGCAAATCATCAAAGAATGGCTCATTCAGACAGCAGTACCCATGCAGAGGACTAAATGAGAAATTATTACTAGTTCACTATGTCACATGATATATATACAGGCAGGCAGGGTTAGAAGTCCAAACTAGATGAATTCTGACACATCCTAACCCCAAAGTGCCTGGGTTTGGTAACCTTCATGCAGGTTTCAGGCAGGCTGCTGTATGGAATTGCACAAGGTTTTAAAAAAGGGAGATGACAGCTTTTTTCCTGTGTAGGGATCCAACTTTTCCTCCAGTGGGTAGGCAAAGGCAGGATGCTAAGAATCATGACCTCAGAGCTGCAGCTATTGCAGCACTTGAGGCTCTATCAAGGTTTTATCTCCCACACACCCCTGAAGAAAAGATGTGGAAAAGGTGATACTCAGGAGCTTAAACCATAGGCTTAAAATCTCCTTAAAATTAAGGTTACAAAATTTTAAGTCGGCTGTTCATAGGGACACTGTAGAGGGTATAGTCTTGAGTAGCATGTGCCACTCTGCTTGTTGATGTACAAAAAAGACAAACTTAGTTCAAGTAGATACAGGGAAGAACATTTAAGATGATCATGGAAATGGAGTTTATTTTAAGATGTAAGGAATAAAAGAGCTTGGTTTGTTTAACTTGGCAAAGCAAGGCTGAGGGGAGATATCATCCTATCTGTGAAAATATGTTGGAAAAGCAAATACCAGAGAGGAAGCTCTAGACACTAATGGACAATGACAGCACTGGACCAAATGGGTGCAAAGTATTAAGAGGTACATTTGCATTTAAAAATAGAAGAAGGTTCCTCCTTAGAGAATAAACTGGCAGACCCTGCCAATAGAACTTTAAGAAGACCATTTCCCATTCAACACCACTCTATTTTCCTGATTTTTTTTTCCCCACATGGCCAACACAATATCTTGAACTTTTTTTTTTTTTTTTTAAATAGTTTGGGAATAACTGGGACACATTTTTGGCCAACATCTCATTTAGCAGTCTAGTAAAACTGTAGAAAAGTACACATGAATACATTT